TTCGAATACAGTTCAAGCGGTGCGCTAAGTGACTGAATTGGAAGTCGGATAGAAAACCGGTTGTGGGGTGCATAGTTGAGGTGATGAATTTGATGCACCTGTAGTGATCGTGCTATCACTCAGACTAACAATGTTCTCGAATCACAACTATTACAATGCAAGTGTATTGAACTGTTCGACCCAAGTCCAACTTCGTGCCAGTCGAAATCGGCTGAGCAGCACAGGGGGGGGGGGGCAAACCGGTTGAACAGGATCCAAATCTTGGTGGTCGAGTCGAAATGGCGCACTGACAGTGCGAGACTCAGCGCATTCGTGAGCCAAGCGAAGCAACCGTTGCAGAGCATGACCGCACCCATGGAACGAGTAGTCGTTGCACTACCGATTTAGTAGAACAAACACCGAATGTGCTGATACAAAAGCCAAAAAATGGCAATTTCTATTTGTTTTCTTTTGTATATGTGAGACGTATGAGGTCCCGGAGGGGAAGGCGATGAGATGGAGGAGAGGGGGGTGAGGGTGGCAGTGGGTAATAGATCGTACACAGGAGCAAGGAACAATAGATAGCTGTGTAAGGGAGACAGAACAATGGTGAAATGAGTAGGGGAAATAACGACGAACCGATGGGTTGAATAATTCAATGTAACTCGGATGAAAGAATGCACAGCGTATTCGTTTAGGTCGCGGGTAGGGCACAGAGATGGTGCCAGATCAAGGCTATGTACAAAGGACGTACGCATTCAATTAATCAGGCATGCGCCCCAAAGGGGACGACTTTGGGAACGAAAAGGAAATAAGTATTAGGGTGATTGGTTTGATGTTTTTTCGATTTTTGATTACTGAACTATTTTGCGGTAGAAAAAAGGTGAAAAAATAATCACAATAAGGGATAACCCAAAGTTTCCGGTTCAGGAGGGCTGGGTTTAGGTGAATGAATTCAATCTTTTTTCACGCTGTAGTTCTTGCTTGGTTTCTCCGAAAATGATGTATTAGGGACACGAAAAAGAAGGGATGGAAGAGTATTTACAAATGATTATTTTTTGGTCGAAGGATCTAATCGCAGGTGGAATGAGACTGCACGAGGATGAATGGACATGTACAATAGCCAAAAAACAACACAGCAGCGCTGACGGGTGGTGATAGTGAGCATTAGAGCGACAATAGACCCGGATCTGATACGGGGGAGGGGGGAGAAACGAATAAGGCAGATGGAGACAAGGTATGTGTGAGCGTGTGTGTGCGCGCGCGTTTACTTAATATATCTGAAAACCATGTGTTGTGCTTGTCAGAGGCGAGATCCACGGAACGGAAGATTATGGCGTTATGGTGTTTCTGATTACACACAAACAAACAGTGTGACAGGCACTGAGCAGTGCGATGCTGCGGGACAAAAAGAGAAGAAGAAGAACGTGTTTCGTGCCGTGGTCCACACAAAATGATATGTCACAGTTGTCCAATGTTCGATGGCCTGCCAATAACCCGGGGGTGGGCAGTCTGAGGAGCCGTCACACAGTGCTGTGGCCAGTGAATTGAAAGAACGAAGGGAACACTGAAGTGAATCAGGAGAATGAGCGTGCCAACTGGCTAACTACGGTCGCCAATGTGTCCGATAGAATGCACGCGTTCGACGCAATCGGGGTGTACGGAACAATACCAGCTGAACATCTTTCAAATTGGCTCGATGCACACGGGACGAGTGGGCCAAAGAGAAAGAGTTTGTTCCGGTACCGCTAGTAGTACCTAGCTCACCCGAGGAAAGAGCATTCGAGGAGGAAAACAACCCACTCTGACCGGAATCGGGGCCACCGGATTGAGTTAGGAGAGTACCACCGACCCCGGTCTGGCCTGAACCGAGCAGACTGAGTCGACTCGCACTGACCAGGGATAAACGGCTATGACCAGAACCGGAAGTACCCAGTGAATCGCGGTTGGCCAACAAGCCAGTGCTCGAATCGGTGAGTAGCACGTTTCCAGAATCATCTGCTGTATCAAAGCGCCGTTTACGTTGCGGTCCGATTGCGCTCAGAGCAGTCAGATTGGCCTGGTGTTGCTTTTCACGCTCGTAATCCTCAGTGGCAATACGCCGTGCCATTTCACGCATACGAATTTGATCCGGATCCTCGTTTCGAGAACGTGACTATCAGTCAGGAAAAAAGGGGCGATGGAATGGGATGAATTAGAACGGTTACCCGCAATCTATTACCTATTATGACATCAACGCGATAAAAACTTCGATTCAATTACACCAGATTCATGTATAAGAAGAAATAATGTAACGAATATCGAAGCAACACTATCGCATGTATTTATGCGTATTCAACACAAATAAAACCATCCTTCTTCCTTACTGTTGATAAGTTCCTGGAAGACCATCCCATGCGACATGTACTACCGTGCTGGGATGCTTTCGATAGGAACAAATACATTAGAAGGGTGATTGATCACTTGATACGAAAACAACAAAGACCCCTAGATGACAAAGAGGTAACAGGTGAAATTTCATTCCCACTCCTTAAGACCGGGTGGGGTTTTCGAATTCATGATAAAAACCACTGTCGATCGATCGTACAACCTTTGCCCGTAATGAACTATGCACAGTTGGACTGTTTACTCTGTGTTGACCATAGAGGTTCGCTTTCTTTCCCCGTCCCCGAAAGTAAATCTAATATCTATCCTCCTTGCACATTCTCACTTAACTTGTATGCAATACGAGTTTGGTAGCGATCAGTGAAGTTCGCTTCACGGCGAACTGAGTTGCGAAAGACATTGGGGTCAGTTTGAAGAAATACAGGATTCGGAAGTGAAGCCTCTACCGGTGGTGCATAATGCAAAACAAACAACGACGATTCGGATGTTATTGTTTAACTTAGAAAATGGTTTCTCCCCAATAATCTGGTATGGTCGGGTTTCGGAATTTCGGCTAGCGTATCATACTGTCTTAGATTTTCCTTACCTCTCTATCACCCCCTCCCCGTCCTAACTACCTGCGTTCACATCTTCCGTTAGGGAAGTCTTAATCAGTCTTCTTTTTGCATATGTTCTATTTAATGAGGAAGCAGAGAAACCAATATTGGAAACTGTGCCCGGGGTGATTAGCCACTTGGGAAGTTTGAAAACCCCGATTCTAGATCACCATGACAAGATATGCGAGTTGTCTCGAATGACTCCGGATATCAGCTCGATCGGTTGATGGAATTTACTGAACTTCTGGGAGCCACGTGTGAAGGATGTATCATTTGAGTGAAGGGATACAAGCCCTCCTACAAGGATCCTCTGGGTTAGATTACTCTGTGAATAGCTCAGGGTGAGATTCGTCAGAACACTACTTTGCCTAATGTGGCTGAGTAGTACAACAGCCCACGACATTGTCACCTGTTAAGGAACGCGACCCATATCTTCTTGATTTCATTACCCACAATACACTCACGTCGTACGCTCCGTTTGGCCACTGCTTTCAAATCTACATGCAGTAGGGTCTGGAAATTTTCCGATTAACTAGCCCGATATCTCGTGAACCATTAAACCGGAAATGCCGTTTTTACTTTTCTGCCCTCGAAGTTCTTTCAGTTCAGCGACATTCGCCATGCAGACATTGATGTGTTGGACAACAGAAAAGCCCAGTACGTTCCCTAAAAACCTTACCTTTAATCTGTGGGTGAGCGTTGCTCACTCAAACATAACATCCTTGGTCTATGCATTCTCCCCCAAGAGGTAGCATCCTAGGTGCGTTGAAAAACTGATTCTACCACAAAATGCATTGGTTTCGAGGCTCGATATCATAATACTGATTGGAGATATAAGTGCATGCACAAACAGGTACTGAAAGGCACCTTTGACATCAACTCGTCATCATCATAGAACAACGAAGCGAACTTTGCTGATCGCTGCCAAACTCGCAATGCAAACAGACCTAGTGAGAATATGAGGTGGATAGGGATTGGGCCGATTTTGATGAAGGGGGCGAGATTGAACCTCTATCCTCAACACACAGAGTACGCAAACTAACCGTGCATACATACCTTTTCAAGCATTTTGGCCTGATAAGAAATCACAAGAACGCAAGCGCCATGTTTTTCAGTCGCAGTCTTTCGTACCCAAAACTGGAAGGTGAGACCTACTTGTTAGGTGGAGCAACTATTTTTTTTACCTAAAACTGTCTATTTTTCGAGTATTTTCAAATGTTTTTATAAATAAAATTTTTCGGCCCTAATCGTCCACCACCAGCTGATTAGTCAATCCTGTAGATTTTCTCATTTTTTGCATCAATGTTCAATGTCTCTATGTCCAGAGGCTAGAACAGTATATAAACAGATGAGTTGACACTGTAATTTTGATTTGCTCTCGGTGGATCAATTAAACTTTCGTTGCTCATCGTCTGTGTTCTTACTTACGTAGTTCGGAAAAGGTTACTAGTGCTCGTGGCGTCCAGTTTGTGATGTGATCGTACTTGTGGGGCTAAACGACTAGTGTGGCCGTCGAGGAACGCGCGCCGGTGTTCGGACCTACCTCGTATTTGTGATATCATGCAAGTCGTCTGAGTGTTCAATCGGTGTTCTCGTCCATTGCCAGTACTGAGTGCCACTACCATTGTTTTGCGTTGTGCTCCATCCATTCCCTTTCGGGCACACTGTATCCCACGCCGGCCTGTGTTACTGTCACTGTTACTTGTGACTGGTCGTGAACGACACAACACTACTCCATCTAATGGCACTGGGTATTTCTCCATACCTCATCTTCACGTAATCTGTTGACCTCACATAGTTTCATCCAACCCGGAGCAGCTACAGTGAATGGAGTGGGATGCGGTAGACACCGATGTCGATCTTGCTGTCACTTCTTATAAGACCAGAATGCTTGATATAGTATATCAGCACATTTGGACTGCGTACTCTGTGTTGACCATAGAGCTTCGCTATTTTTCCATCCCTAAAAGCAGGGCAATCCCTGTTCTTACACATTCTCACTTACCTGGTCTGCAACATGAGTTTGGCAGCGGTCAGTGAAGTTCCCTTCACGGTATTACGCTGTACAATAATAATGATGATGTGACACAGCTCAACG